GAACAGAAGCAGTCCAAGTACTGGCATTGCAGTTTTAGAATATTTGTTTCTGGTTTTCTCAGGTTAAAGATTGGCTTTTTTTGGGTTTGATTTAGAGTTGCAATTGAAACAGGCCTAAAGGCTTTGGTTTCTGGAGTCAGACAGGATCCTCTGATCTAGACACGTAAATATTGTTGCTTGTGTTTTGGTCACCTCTCCAAAATTTGTTCATATGGATAGATAAATTACATCTTATTGGTAATAAATAATGAAAAACTTAGTTTTGATTGATACATTTGGTTTATTCAGGCCGTAAAAAGACCAAATTCATTGATTTTTTATATGCCTTGTAACTTAAAATTTCTACTTTATGCTTGAACCAGCCTCTGTTCCTCTGGTCTCAACACCTAACCTTGTCTTGACTTGAAGATCCACCTGAAAGAAACAATGTTCGTCTTCTCGGACGTAACTCACACGACCATTCATCTGCTCCAGCTGTTTCCGTGAAAGCTTAAGCCCCAACCCGTCAGGCGTGTCCCATCCATCTCGAGTCTCAAACATATCACTTAGCATCTCTGAAGGAAGTCCTTTCCCTGGATGTATCATCCTATCATAAAATAACATCGAACTTTTGAAGTCATAAACTCTTTGGTTTTATTCAGTTGTTTTTGTTAAACGTTTACCTGAATTGTAGATGGATATAGCAATCATTGACGATCAAGTGCTCCTGGACTGGTGAGATTTTGATTCCTACCCAACTATCTGGAAACGGGGAATGATTCACAATGTTGCGCAGAAGATCAGCAAGAATGAGCTGAAGCTTTACTTTGTCACCATAGAGAGGCAGAGTTTTGATCTCCTCGGCGACTTCAACCCTTAGTTGTGAGTTCCTCTCTCTCAACATACTCATCACTTGGCTAATGATTATGTCCAAGATGCTTCCAATTCGAAACTCCTCTGTTTCCATTTGCATCTTGCTGGTACCATAAAAAAATTCAGATTCAAAATGTAAAAACAAAAGCAGATAAAAGTTTCTTTGGCTTACCCTTCCTCGATGCTTTTTAAGTCTGTGCCTTCGATTATTGTGGCAATCTGCTTCTCACAAGCATCACCAGTCTCCAGAAACTGCCTTTGGTTCTCTGAAATCTCTGATGACTCAAGAAGCTTATGTGCAAATCGGATACCGTTGAGAGGATTCTTGATTTCTTGCCTTATGTAAGTTAATTCGTTAAGGCTTTGAGCGCATTCTCTGAGTTCCGGGCAGCTCAAACCCGAGTCTTTATTAATAATCTGCAAGAAGAAGAAACATCTGATAACTTTCCCTTCGGTGTTTGTACTCGTGTTCGCCGTTAAGGAAGCTTCTATATACTTCCCTTCCTTATTAAAGAACCCAACCAGTGAACTCTCTGAAACATTACCGCCAGCAATTCCTTCGTACAGAGAGATCAAGAACTTTGTGAGTGAGTCTTGGCATTTCACTTTACAAAAAACTCCGAAAACTTCACCGGGTAGCATTTTCCCAATCACCTCGTGTTTTGACCATCCGGTAAGCTTTTCCATGGCTGCATTCCACTCAGAGCAGCAAGCATTCTCATTTGAGGCGAATATCGGTGGAATTAACGGATTGAGGCTTTGTACAATTGTCTTGTAATCTCCTTGCAATCTGATGAATTTATCTGCTATGGCCTTCTCGCTAGTGATGTCTTGACCAACAAAGCAGACACCTATGATTTTTTCTGTATAATCCCGACTCGTGCAGGAGTTAACTAGTACACACACATCAGAAGAAGAAGAATCCATATGATTGTTGTGACCAAACTTTCTCAGTTTTAGCATTACGTTTTTCTCCTCCTCACCTGAATAACACAACAATTCAATGTTTTTCACTCACCAAAACACATTAGAAGAGCATAGAATGAAACTTGTATCCAAAAAATCTTTTTTTTTATCACCTTGTAGGGCTTTGGACAAGACATTTTCGACTGCGGCGCGTGATTCCTCTTGAACAATCTCATTGGTAAGAGATTTCCCCATGGCTTCACTTGCTTGCAATCCCGTCATTTCAGCGGTTTTATTGTTCCAACCATTGATACAACCAGAAGAATCAACCCCGAAAATAGGCGCGGTTGCAGTTTCAATCACTCTAACCATTTCACACACAAAAGAAGTAAGCTCATTAGCATCTCTTGCCACAACATTACCAGACAATACATGCCTAGAGCTGGTAAATGATTCTCTCATTATAAGCCTCAGAGAATGAATAGCATCAATCTCTGAGATTTCCCAAGGCAAGCTTCTGCTTTTCGCAACTTCAAGAAACGCTTTGAACGATGATCTCGGGTGCATTCTTCCGGCATCATCTTTATTCTTTGGATGATGTTTAGCTCCTCCCCATTTGATTGCACTTGCAGTGTTGGACCTGAACCAAATTAAGTAATCTTGCGAAGAAATCCCTGCAGCAGCCACACCGCAAACTGCATCTCCAAGTGAGATGGCACCAGGGTATCCAGCATCCACCAAACTATCTGTGGTTAAACCCGTCGAATCATCACCGTGATTCTCCACAAGCCAATTCACCAAGTCTTTAACTTGTGACTCATTAGGCGTAACACCAACCAACCAACATTTCCCCTTGTAATATAAAGCCGCTCCATCGCACTTCACAAGGTCCATAATACCAGGAGACTGAGTCACAATAGCGGAAACAGTGTCACGGAGAAGCATATCGCACAATAAAGTCTGCGTCCGCATAGCCTTCTTCTCAGCTAACTGTGATGCTAACTGAAGCTCCATTTGAAGCTGAAGCCCAAACGCTTGCATCAAAAACTCACAAGCATACCGTAATGGGAATGGAACGTATCTAGGAGAACAATGATGACCCACGACTAAACCCCAAAGCTTGTTTGAATCTTTGGTTTTAACCACAATCGCGAGCGCAAGAGAAGCGATAGATCCCATATTCCCCATATACTGTGTATGACATCCATGAGGAGCTCTTAGAGTAGAATTGACTAAACAAAGTGGTCTCTTTAGTTCCTCACTCTGAACAACCTTAACAGGTATTGCATTACAATCACAAATCATTCGTACACGATTCTGTTTAAACAAGAACCGAGCAGCTTGAGGAATATCTGTTGCAGGGTAATGTAAACCCAAGTAAGGCTCCAAATCAGATCTTCTAATCTCAGAAACAACTTCACCATGATCATCTTCATGAAACTGATAGACCATAACACGGTCATAACCGGTAAGTCTCTGAACATCTTCCACAACAGTATCACACAAAGCACCAATATCACCTCCAGGAAGTGACTGTAGCCTAGAAATGGCCCGAACCGCGAGCTTCTGAGACTGAACCGCACCTGCAAGCGTCAAAGCCGCATCACCGGATTTAGCAGGCTCCAAATCAATCACAATCCCCGCATCGACCCGATGAAGTATAGCGTAAAACGGCTTCTGGGTCATGCTAGAATGAACCAAAACAGGATTCAACAATGAAATCTCAGTAAAGGAAGCAGCTTTAGCCAAAGAAGCTCCAGAAGAAGGCGTAAAAAGCGTCCTTGCATCGATTCCAAGCAAACCCTTGATC